TTAGTTATACTATGTCTATATTGTTATTATAACCAACATTATGGTAACATTTACTATAAATATGATAATTATAACTATAATTATTTTACTATGTCATTATAGTTCTAAATACCATATATTTTTCTCTCAGTGTACATATTATGCGGAAATACTAGAATAGATATATCGAGCGTATTCATGTGCAAAGAGAAAGGGAAAGTAGCCCTTAGAATTCTCCTTCTCTCTCCCTGCGCCATGGCGGATTTTCCGATTATATGCTCACGAGAGAGAATCACAGAATCTGAGCGATTCACTCCCGTATATCGTGACGCGCGCTTTCCGATTATATGCTTGCGAGAGAACCTAAACACGATTATACGTATATCGATCTCTGTATTCGCATCCTGTATTAGTGTTACATATGGTTGCTTGATTTTCATGACACGTTTGCATTAAATCCCCGGTCCCCGTGTTAGCGGGGTTAAGCAAGTTAAACGTGAGAATCAGAGAGCCTATCGCATTTAACGTAAAACGTGATGGTATTTTACGGATGAGTGATTATATAGAGAAATTAATTAAGGAATCATAATACTGTATGTAAATCAGGATTTAATTAGCAAATCAGGATTTAATTAGATTTAATTAGTTTTTTTTTATATCGTATGATACCGATATAATATAATAGCCGAAACTTTATCTGTAAACATAATACATTAGTCTATTAATTTTTAAATCTCGATTTTGGAGCATATATATATATGTATATATATATATATATTTTTTTTTAATTAATATATTGCGACAATCGCTGGGTGAACTGATAATAATGTAATCTTCGTAGTAAAGAAAGATTTTCTAAAGTATATTACTGTAGCATGAGCAAAAGAAATGCAAACTTGGCAACTGGTATAAAAAGCAAAATAAGTAAGAATACTAAAACGCAAATTTCTAATATTATTTTCAGCGCGAATTTAACGCTAAGGGAAGTTTCGCGGCAGAGTAAATTCCGGAGTATATCGTTACAGACGAAAGAAATTTTCTTAGCTTATCAAAGGAATAAAAAAGAAAAACCGAGTTAAACCGTAACGCTATTATTTCTGAGCTTACATTTGACGTCGCGCCGGCTGAATTTTCGCGATGGAGTAAATTCCAAAATATGCTATTTCTAACGAAGAAACTCGGAGGTTAAAAAACAGGAAATAGAACTTGAGACGCGCGGAGTTAAGGTGACACGCGAATTTACGGTATTATTTCCATGGTAGGTATTTGACGCTAATGTACGCTTCGCGGTTGAATAAATTCGTCTCTAACCGAAGGAGAGAAATCGCGAGTTGCAAAAGGAATAGAATTCGTGACGTAAAGACGGCATGCGCGCGAATTTCTGATATTATTTTCCAAAGAAAAACGCGCATTTGACGCTAACGGGACTTCGCGGTTGGAGTAAATTTCGTAGTATGCCGTTGTAGGTGAGAAATACCGGAAATAAAATGTCAGAATTTCTGCTAATCTAGTAGATTTTCAATAATCCACCTCGGAAAAGTACAATTTTTTGCACCCCGTGCAAAAATCACGATCGAGCAATTTTTGAAGCCATTGGTGCAACGTGAATCTGATGTTGAAATCCGTAATTCACTTTAAACGACCATAACTGTAAAATTGCGAACAGTATAAAAAGATCGTGGAGAATCACACGCCATTTAAAAAAGATAATTCATACGTTTTAGTTGATTTTTTGTTTTTCTACAAAGTTATTGCTGAAATTATACACAAAATAACGCTAAATGTTCGTACGCCGTACATGTATAAGCAGAAAGAAAAACAGAGTTTTCGAAAAACTCTTCTTTTAGTAAATCTTTGACAGCGGAGAAAATAATTAATGATAACAGTGAATTTTGCGACGTGTGTAAATTTTACATTTGTCATTACAGCCGGTCGTAATGAAGCGAAACGTCACGCAGAATAAAGCAGGTTTCAAGTACCGCGAAAGTCGTAAAAGTATAATTATACGGTTTCAAATTTTCTGTTTATCACCGCGCGTGAAAATGGAAGAAGTTTATCACGCGATGCTTCTCGAGTTTCCCGGCTTGCCGAAAGCAGCTAAAGTAGAAGCATAAAAATTAAACTGCTCCTTAGCGCGCATTGTCCGACGAAGAAAAAAGAAAACTGGGATTTAGATTTAACTGAGTTTGCAATCGACATTGTGTTTTGCCAGTGACAGAGAGCCTCCTCGTCATCGATGGAGGACGATTTTCCACTATGATATTTTTGTCGTGACTCTCGGGAAATAACGCTGCCAAAAAAAAACGTCAGTTTGAACGTAGAATTTTTGGCGAGATTGACTGAAGATTTAAGGGACTAATGGAAATCTTGCATATTCGAAATATATATCAACCGCATTTTCGCGAGATATCTAACGATTACTGTCATTCTCGTAGTTTTCAAGAGTTTTCTCTGGCATGATATTGGCACAAGTCAACCTGTCGATATGTCACAGTTGAGTGCTCTAATACCATCAAGCGCTGCAGATTATCGCGCTAGAGAAAAAGAATAAAATATCGCTGCCGAAAAAGATCGTGTATCTAGCATATCCATGTACCGATATATCTTTTCAAGTTTTAATAGCGTACACTCGTTTGACAGCAAACTTTAATAATTATGACATATCTCTAATATTTCATTTCTTTAAATAATATTTCTCGATATTTTACATTACAGTGTTAACAGCCACGTATGACCAGTTTTCGCTAACGTATATATAATTCTCTAATATTATTTGATTTTTGCACAATCTTGTTGTCGTCCAAATATGAAATTTTATACGTGACGAGATAATGTTTCGTATTTTTACGCACTTTATGCCATAACGCGCCAGAGAATGTGAGAGAGATCCTTTAAATTTCGTACGAAGCCGTAATGCTATCTTCATTTGCGCGAGAGTGCAGTTAGTGGAGAGTCGCGAAATCTGTCGCATTCGTTATGTTAGTCGGGGAAACGGGAAAAGTGCAACGTGCGCCGCTGTGTGAAAACTACAAATTGTTACACGACGGCTGGCTGGACATGACCGGGAGATGCAGTCAACCAGTCTGAAACGCGTTACGCTCTAACTTGATTTCCGTAATTACTCCTCATTGGACGAGAGCAAGGGTCAAAAAACCGTCTGCCGCAAAAAAATTCTTTAAAGTCGATACCAACAGCATATGACTGCGTTGCTGCGCCTTTCATATTACTGGAATAAAAATGATGAAAACCGAAGCTATTGGCTTTACGCGACTTTGATAGCATTGATACATCACGCAGCACATAGTTTCAGAAAAGTTAATCAAATTACCAACATTTGATTACTTTACATATCATTTTACATATTCAAGAACGATAAGAAGTAGCACGATAAGAAGTAGTATGCACGATAAGAAGTACCTCATTTCAATGTAAATTTATAAATTTAACATTTAAAAAATCCGTGTTTTTTGTATGTAATAACGACGATAG